GTGGCAGAATTAAGTGAATGATTAGCAGCTGCCGAAGAGATGATTGCTATTCTGAAAAGAGCAGTGACAAACGCTCCTACTGGGGTAAGTACTTATAAACCTAAAGTGCTTAAACCGAAGTATTTTTGTGGGGTAAGGAGTTTCAAAGAACTTGAGAATTTCTTATGAGACATGGAGCAATACTTTAGCGTTGTGAAGATCGACGTGGCTGAACAAGTGGATCTTACAGTGATGTATCTCACGGGTGATGCGAAGCTTTGGTAGAGGACGAGAACCAAAGATGACTTAAGTGCTGGACGTCCAAATATTGAGACATGGGATCACCTCAAGCAGGAGCTGAAGGAGTGGTTCCTTTCGAACAACACATCTTAGATTGCGCGGGAGGAATTGAAAAGGCTCTAACATGGAAGGTCAATTCATGAGTATGTTAAATATTTTAGTTTTTTGATTCTCGACATCGAGAATATGTTCGAGGAGGACAGGTTGTTCAACTTCATGTCTGGATTACAAAGTTGGGCGTAAGCGGAACTAAAACGACAGAATGTAAAGGATATGTTCTCTGCTATTGCTGTTGCGGATAATTTGGTTGATTTCAAATCAATTACTAGACAAGGCTATACATCAGCCTCCTTCAAGTCTAAGGGAAGAAATAAGGAGGATAAGATGAAGAAGAAATCCAGTGGGGGTGCATCGAAGGCCACTGTCGTGGATAAGGGCAAGGCTAAGTTTATGGGTGCACAAGGTAAGAGTACAAAACCAAACTTTACTTGCTTCATTTGTAATGGTCCTCACTTTGCAAAGGAATGTCTAAAAAGGGAGAAATTGAATGCTATTCGGGCTGAAGATAGCGATGAGGATGAGGGGGTAGTTACCCATGTCAATCCTATACGTGTGATAAACTGCCTGGTAGCTGAATCAGGGGATACGAGCTACCAAAACCCGCCTTGTTGATCAAGACTTGGCGAGGATTGATGCACTGTGAAAAGGGAAGTCAGGGGCTACTGACAATCTGATGTATGTGAAGATTGGGATAAATGGCAAAGACGTGAATGCTATGTTGGATTCAGGTGCAACCCACACGTTTATGGCAAATCGGCTGGTGAAGGAACTTGGCTTGCGGCTGAGTGATAGTCATGCATCAATAAAGGCAGTAAACTCAAAGGCACAGAGAATTGCAGGGATGTCTTATGATGTGCCAATGATGCTGGATCAGTGAAGAGGTAAGCAGGATATGCTGGTCGTAAATCTTGACGATTACGATATTATTGTTGGTCTTGACTTCTTACAGAAAGCCAAGATTGTTTTGATGTCGTATCTCAATGGGGTCATGATTACGAGTGAGGGATGCCCATGTTTCGTCCCATGTTGTAACATCGTAGCTGCGAAAGTAGTGAAAGGGGGGAAAAGCTTGGTCTCGGCAACTGTTATTAATAAAGCATTGCGAAAAGGAGGGGAAGTGTTTCTTGCGACAATAGTAGACGAAAAGGCAGACTATGGTGGAGAGGTACCAAATGAAATTGCTAGCATGCTGCAACAATTCAAGGATGTGATGCCACCTCAGCTACCAAAAAAACTCCTACCTAGGAGGACTATCGAACATCAAATTGAGTTGGTGTCGGGGACAAAGCCATCATCTTAAGCCCCTTACCGGATGTTGCCAATGAAATTGGCAGAATTGAGGAAATAATTAGAAGAGTTAATTGACTCGGGATTTATCCGCCCTTTTAAGGCTTCATATGGTGCTTCGGTGTTGTTTCAAAAGAAGGCGGATGGAAGCCTTCGCATGTGTGTGGACTACCGAGCACTTAACAAAGTAACAACCAAAAACAAATATCTTATCCCTTTAATACAGGATTTGATGGACAAATTGTGTGGAGCCTCTATCTTTATGAAATTGGACTTGTGATCGGGGTATTGGAAAGTGCGGGTTACTAATGGTGACAGGTATAAAACTACTTATGTGATGAGGTATAGCTCATACGAGTTTTTAGTTATGTCATTCGGCCTAACAAATGCTCTAGCAACATTTTATAATCTAATGAATGATGTGCTATATGATTTCTTAGATAATTTCGTTATAGTCTACTTAGATGACATCGTAATCTATAGTAGAGGCATTGAAGATCATGTAACTCATCTCTGTAAAGTCTTAAGTTGATTGAGATAATATAAATTGTATGTGAAGAGGAAAAAGTATGAGTTTGCAAAAGCTGAAATTATGTTCTTAGGCCATTTGATTGGAGAAAGACAGGTGAAGATGGATCCATGGAAGATTTAAGCCATCATTGAATGGACAGCACCAAAATCTGTCCTGGAATTGAGGTCATTTTTGTGGCTTGCAAACTACTACATACGATTCATTGAGGACTATAACAAGAAGACAACTCCTCTCTGGGATCTTCTCAAAAAGAATCGGAGATGGGAATGGATGGTTGACTGCCAACAAGCTTTTAAGAAGCTGAAGACAGTGGTAGCATCAGCTCTAGTTTTAGGGCTGCCTGATTTTAAGAAGCCATTTAAAGTACATACTGATGCTTCGGATAGGGCCATTAAGGAAGTGCTTATATAAGAGGGGCATCCGATTGCTTTCGAGAGTCGAAAGCTAAATGATGCGGAACAGAATTACTTGACGCATGAGAAGGAGATGACGGCAAGAGTGCACTGCCTTGGCATTTGGAGAGTATATCTATTGGGGTCAAAATTTGTTCTCAAGACCGACAACGTTGCTAACACATTTTTTAGGACGTAGAAGAAATTGTTGTGAGAATTCTTGGCCAAATTCTTAGCCGAATATGATTTCGTATGGAAGCACAAACCAAGGAGCCACAATCAGGTTGCGGATGCACTTAGCAGACACGAGGTAATTGCTACTGTTCTTGCTATTGTTCAGGAGGAGTCAAACATGCTGGGTCGACTTCATCAATCAGCTAAGGAAGACACAGCGTATAAGAAAATGGTTGAGCTTGTACGAGAAGGGACAATACAGAGGTATTGGTTAGAACAAGACCAACTCTATGCAAGACGAGAAGGGACAATACAGAGGTATTGGCTAGAACAAGACCAACTCTATGCAAAGGGGGGTCAAATCTTCATGTCGAAGGGAGAGTTGCGGAAATATTTATTGACGGAGATTCATGATCCGTAGTGGACAGGACATCCAGGTAGAGAAAGGATGGTCACTCTCCTGTCACAGACTTATTATTGGCCGAAGATAGAGGACGATGTAGAACTTTACGTCAGGACTTGTCTAGTGTGCCAGCAAGACAAGACTGTACGGCAGCGAGAAACAGGCTTGTCACAGCCGTTGTCGATTCCAGAAAAGCCTTGGGTGTCAGTTTCGATGGACTTCATTGTTGGTTTTCCAAAGGTAGATGGCATGAACACGATCATGGTTATCATGGATAGATTCACCAAGTACGCGGTGTTTGTGGTTGCCCCTGCGGTGTGTACAGTCGAAGTGGTCGCTGAATTATTCTACCGCAATGTGGTGAAGTACTTTAGAGTGCCCTCAGACATTATAAGCGATCGGGATGTGCGATTCATGGGTAGATTCTAGACAGCGTTGTTCAACATGATGGGAACAAAGCTAAACTTTTCAATTGCCAACCATCCGTAGACCGATGGGTAGACGGAAAGGATAAATGCTTTGCTGGAGGAATATTTGAGACACTACGTGACAGCAATGTAGCGAAACTGGTTGGAGTTGCTGGATAGTGCGCAGTTTTGCTATAATCTTCAAAAATCCTCGGCAACGGAAGCAAGTCTGTTTAAGCTGGTTTTGGGAGCACAACCCCAAACTCCTGCCGAGATTGCAGTTTAGATATCTGGTGGGAAGAGTCCAGTGGTGTACAGGTTTGCGATGGAGTAGCAGGAGTTGTTTGAGCAAGCTCAAGATAGCTTGCTTAAGGCAAGGAAGAGGATGCTCAAATATGTCAATCAAAAGTAAAGGTTGCTGGAATTCAGTGTGGGCTACAAGGTGTTGCTCAAGTTAACTCTGTAAATTTGGAAGAAAATTATGGGGACGACGAAGCACCGAGGGTTGGTGCCAAGGTATGATGGACCTTTCAAAGTCATTGAAAAGGTAAGGGTTATCGCCTATAAGTTGAAGCTGCCCGAACGGCTGAAGCTGCATCCTACTTTTCACGTAAGTTACTTACGACCTTTTTATAAAGACATTGAGGATTTGAAAAGAAATAAGTGGCAACGAGCTCCTCCTATAATTCATAAACAATTTGACGATGGTATCGTCAAGATTATGGATCATCGTCGACTTGGCCAACATAAAAATAATCAGCGGACAGAATTCTTAGTAAAATGGAAGAAAAATGAGGAGGTTTCGTGGGAGAATGATACAAATTTGTGGCAATTTGAGGATCAAGTACAGAACTACCTCACGTCTATTCCGACGAGGACGTCAGACTCTTCTAATGGGGATGATTTGTTAAAGCTCTAGGCGAGAAGATGTGCCAACAAAAGCACACTGCCTAGAATTCGGCAGCAATGGACAGTGGCTGCCTTGCATAAACAGAGGCGAATTCAGCAGGCAGCGTGCGATGGTCTGTACGAGTCTTTGAGCTTGGGACTTAGCATGGACGTGGGGGCTTAGATAATGAACCTTCTAAATCTGCAATTGACGCTGCGAAAACTAGCATTTTGGACTGCCAGGTAGACATCCAGAATATGGGTGAAATGGCAGCATCATGGGGCAGAACGTGGGTGAAGTGGCAGCATAGTGGGGGCAGAACATGGGCGCATAACTGGGGTGCTCTCCAAGCTGTTGAGATCATGGGATCATGAGAAGAAAATGCTCTACTATGTCCTGAAAAATAGGGATCATAGGTGAGCCTTGCAGCTCATATTTTTTGTCTATAAATATGCTGCCAAAACCTTTACTGTGGAGCATGCGATTTATGTGCTTAACACATACACTTTTATTGTGTAATCTTTTGTTGATGAGATAAATAAAGATTAAGATGGTACTGGAAAAGAAGTCAAGACATCTGATTATCTCATGTTTATAAGAAATAAAACCTGGTTAGCTCCATCTGCTCTCTCAGGATTCAAGAGTTCTATACCTGCAGCCCCTTCCCTTCACCCGTAATCTCCAGAAATGCATCCACATCTCCTTCAAACCATCTCTTTACCTCTCACAGTAATTACCATCATCATTATTGCGATTCCAATTTCTCTATGTGAACCTGATGAGCGATATCTAGGCTGCAGCAAATCATTTGAGTGTGGAAACATTCAGAATATAACCTATCCTTTCTGGGGAGTGAATCGTCCTCAGTACTGTGGCTATCCAGGATTTCATCTTGATTGCAGTGGTGACGCCCCAGTGATTAAAATATCGGAAGTGGCCTACCAAGTCCTAGAGATCAAAAGCATGTCTCGAGTTCATCTCATTTCAACAGAGTACACAGACAACATTTGTTCTATCCCCCCTGTCAACTCCACTTTTGATTCCGACCGTTTCAGTTATGCTTCAAATACTAAGAATATAATGCTGTACTATGGATGTCCAACGATTCCAAGTCAATTTTTACCAACTTTAGGGCTATCCTATCAGTTCAGTTGCAACATAAGCAGAAATGATATGGTAGGTTACTATCTGACAAGGAACCTGAGCATGTCAGCCACTGGTAGCTTTGCTGCTAACATAAGCATTTACCTGGAGTCATGTAATCACAGCGTTCTCATTCCAGCATATGAATCCGCTGTTCGATCAATAGAGAGCCATCCAACTGCAGCAAATTTGACAAATGCTCTTCATCAGGGCTTTTGGTTGCAGTGGACTGCAAATGATTCCTTGTGTAACAAATGCAAATTTTCTGGTGGGCAGTGTGGATACAATACCGATACTAGTAAATTCACTTGCTATTGTCAAGACCAGCCTTATGCAACTACTTGCAAGAAAGGTATGTCGTGTTAACTTTATTTTTGTGAAAGAAGATTAACTGTCCTTATGTAGACAAAAATTGGCCCAAGCAAGATTTGTTGGATTTCTTTCCATTATCGCAAAATGGAGAAGTGATAATGCACTATTTTCATTTCCTCTATTTTGCTGGAAAGAAAATTCATAACAATTTCCTTATTCTTTATTTAATTAAGATGACCTTATATGATATGTGATTGCATGTAAAATATAGAACAAGTCTGTGCTTAAAATAAGGTTGCTTTCCCTTGCAAGTTTCCTATTTTTAACGAAGATAATTAATATTTAAGAGTTTTCATTGTTTTCGATTTCCATTTCCAGGGAAAGAGTACCTGACAAAAGCTTATTGAGCTAAGAAATTAATCGATTTGTTCTTGTTTTGGTCAATGGTTGGATTTTGCAACCAAAAGAGGTCTCTTGTTCACCTAACATTTTGGATAAGAGGGGTCCTTAATAAATTGACAAGACCAGATGACCCCGTTAAGATTCTACTTGGCACCTGAAATTTGATTCAAGAAGCTGAATTTTCATGTTTTAACGTCCTGCTGTAGCAGTAACAAGATACTTCTGCTCTGTCGAGCGTGACTGTAATTTGGCTAGGGAAAGTAAATGTATTTAATTCTGTCTTCTTGGGGCTACTGAGTGTTGATATGATTTGATATCTTGTCATAGATAGAAAAAGTTAACTAGACACTTCAAATATAAATCATGGGTAATTTCATGCTTACTATGTCAGGAAACTGAGTTATTTGTTGTTTGTTTTGCAGAGTCTTATAGATGGGAATATAAGCTTATTGAAGGTAGGAAAACCATCAAATACCCTTCTTTTCTCCAATCATTGCATGAATATTTAGTTACGACATGCTGTGAATATCTATGCCTCTTGTTGGCACATAACATACAACTCACATGAATCAACTGTGATACTCTTATTTCAGTTGTAATTTTGGCTATGTACACGATGATAGCAGTCACTATCATTGTGCTATGCTCTAGAAGAGGATTATCTAGAGGCCCGATGACTAGCTTTTGGAGGCAGAATGCTCAACATAATCTAAATATTGAAACGATCATTATGAACTCTCATTCTCTTACTCCAAAACGCTATACATATTCAGAAATTAAGAAAATGACCAACTCATTCGTGGATAAACTAGGTCAAGGTGGATTTGGAGGTGTATACAAAGGGAAGTTACCGGATGGCCGTCCTGTGGCAGTAAAAGTCCTGAAGAATTCCAAAGGTGATGGAGAAGAGTTTGTTAATGAAGTTGTGAGTATTAGTAGAACTTCCCACGTAAATATAGTTACCCTTTTGGGGTTTTGCTTTGAAAGGACTAAAAGAGCTTTGATCTATGAATATATGCCAAATGGATCTCTAGACAAGTTCATATATCGTCAGACCTCTCTTCATGGAAACCATAATTTACAATGGGAAAAATTATATGAAATTGCTGTCGGCATTGGTAGAGGTCTTGAGTACTTGCATAGAGGTTGTAACACTAGGATTGTTCATTTTGACATAAAACCTCACAACATTCTCTTAGACACAGATTTCTGTCCAAAAATATCTGATTTTGGTCTGGCAAAGCTATGCAAGAGAGAAGAAAGTATGGTTTCAATGACAGGTGCAAGAGGGACAGCTGGGTATATAGCTCCAGAAGTATTCTGCAAAACATTTGGAGGTGTTTCTTACAAGTCTGATGTGTATAGTTACGGGATGATGGTTCTTGAAATGGTTGGAGGAAAAAGAAACATTGATATCGGAGAATCTCGTAGTGAAATATTCCTTCCAGACTGTATGTATGAATCAGAAGAGGTGTCTAGTCTCCATGGTGTTATAACAGATGAAACAGAAGAGACGATAAAAAAGATGGTTACGGTGGGTTTGTGGTGTGTTCAAACCAATCCATTAGATAGACCATCAATGACGAAGGTGGTGGAGATGTTAGAAGGCAGTCTTCAATTCCTGCAAACTCCACCAAAGCCTTTCCTGTATTCTCAGACAACATCACTGGAAACGAAACTCACCGTATCGACCTCAGGAGCATGTGCATTGTCACAAAAGGAAAGTGAGCATGGTTGCCATTAGTTAAAGAAGCTTCATAACAGGTACCCTAATCATGTTGTAAACCATCACTTGATTTCCAATGATTAAGTCAATCATTATTGACTCTTGCTTAAAATTTAATATGCTGGAAGTGTGGGCTTGATCTGTCACTTTCTGGTCGACACTGATCCATGTAGAAAAGAAGAGATTTTAACGTTTTCTGCAAAAAATATTTTCCAGAATCCTTCAACATGATACTTTGGTTATATTTTTTTATCATTGTAAAGCTTGTTTGATGTACTTGTGATAGTATAATCTTATGCCCCTCCGTGTATCAAATTGAGAGTCCATAACATTTACATGTATTTTGCTGTTAATTACCCGATGCTACTGTAGTGGTCAGCAAGTTCACAGAAAATTCAAATTCAAGTTTATTTTCTTCATCATCTTTTTCTTACTGATTCTTGACTTTGCAAATTCAGATCCCTGATCCGTTGAAGCCTGAATTGACTCTGTCGGCTTTTTGCACTTGGTTTTCAGTAAATAGCAGCTTGGAGATGGCCATGTCCTTTATAACCTCAATGATTTTGAATTTTTTATCTGAATTTACTTTATAAGCTTTCTTGGATCATGGAAACCAATTGCAAAAAGCCAAGTGACTCTGCTGGCTTGCTTTTTACTCTTCTGGAGTCGTTACAAAAATCATCAAGGGAAAGTAGTACAACCTTTGGAGATGGCCATGTCCTTTCCAGTATTCCACGTACAAGAATGTTGTTGCTCTCGCTCTCTTACCATATCCTTACACGATAAATTTCTTTGTTAGAATTTGCTGCGCAGTATCTAAGAAGGGCTTGATCCATCTTAACTTATTCATGTATAATTTACTTATTTTTCTTTCTTTTTTTGTAGATGAATACAAAATGAAATTCCAATACTGAAGAGATACGAAACAGATTGCAACATTGCGTCATTAACAAACTGAGACATAACAAAACAACCAGAACTTCATGAAACATTTTATGCATGTTTCTCCAAAAGGACCAAACTAAATAATGACGCCGCCACATTAAAGAATAAGAATCAAAGAACAAGAATGATGGAATTTTCGAAAGAAGGATCACTAAAAACTTTAATTGGAAGTTTTATTACTGGATAATTATTTTCTAGTAATTTACAGGGATTACAACCTCTTGAAAAAGCCTTAAACCAACCTCTATAAAATAGGAAAATCATAATTCAAAATCAAAAAAGAAAAACAGCAAAAAATTAAACTAGAAATCCGAAATAAAAAAAATAACAAAATTAGCTCAATGAGCATATATTAAACCAACCCCTTGTAGAACTAAGTATGTAGAACCTCCTGACCAAATTTAAGAGCTAGTCGTTTCACAAGATCCAGCCTCATTTAAGCTTAGTTTTATCTCATGAGTCCATGAACGAGTCTATCAGGCTTCCTACATGATTTAGTCGTGGCAGATTCTTAACTGTTGCAATGACTGTTCATAACCATCAGATCCTTCAAACCTGCCTACATCAAACAATAAGCAAAAATACTCAAAATGAAAATTTTGATTCAGAAGCAACTAGCAGAGTCAAACCTGACAGCAGCCTTCGCTAAGAATATTTTTCTACCTAAGTTCTTCAAATCTACTTAGCCTTCGTTCCTGTTAGTACATAATGTGTATTTTAGTTTTTTTAACCAGTTAATATGTGTTAACGGTGTGTACTTTAGTTTTTTTAACCAGTTAAGATGTGTTAACGGCATCCAAAAATAATCAAGGGACTGATTTATCTTCTTGAAATCCTAGCATTGGCTGTAACCTCTTAGCTGACAAGAAAAAAGAAAAGATGAAATGAAAATCCCATCCTCTTCAAAACCCAATAAGCCTTAGAGGGTCTCTAGATTGTTCATTTCTATCGCCTTATCTATTCAATTCCCTCAATGAGTCATCATCTCAGTTTCCACCTCATTCTCTCATCTGTCACGGCCGATGGTGTTGCTGTCATGCTGAAAGTAGCTAATTCCCTGAACCCCTTGCCATCAGGCTGATCCAATGTGTCCTCCAAAGGCTTCTGCACCAACTGGATTGGTGTGCAATGTGTTACCTCTGGTAAAGACTCCTCAATAAACCTCTCTGGCACCCTGCCTTCAGAGTTGTCTAAATTGACTCTTCGCATTTACTAAGGATATGGCATAGGCTGCAATGAAAGACAAGTTTTCTTAACAGATGATGCCATCAATGAATGCACATCACATATTTTGGCCTCAACTTCAAACAATCTAGCTTACCCTTTCATTGTTCCATATCAATTCGTTAATGAAACAAGCCATCAGTTCAGGAGATTGTACCCAGATATCTTCAACAAGAGTATGGTAAAGCATTACATGAGTTAACAAGCAAATCGACCTAACTTGTCTATAAGATCTGACTAAGCTACAAGTCAAATGGTGATACATACGTGTAAATATTAGGGCATTGACCATCACAATTGAGCAGAAAATTTAAGTTTGTAGACTTCATTAACAAACTTCCAAGACGCCAAGAAAGCTTACCAGGATGTTTCTAGTATGATATTGAAGAAGTGGGGAAGTCCTCCCTATCAAAAATCTTCACTGCACTCCCTTATATCATGAGGAATCACTATGTGATCTACTATTAGCTCATAGTATATCACTTTTAAGATGTTTTTCCTTGGATCTATGAAGCTCTGCCTGCAAAATTCATCAGTAGGCAATTGGTTTGGTCAAAATATGAGGCCATTTTATTCTACCTCTGTTTCATATTTTTTAGGGATCTGTCTTCGTGGAAGATAAGACCAAGCTCCTGACAAACCATTTTAAGCTGATCCAATAGAATGATTGAAGAAATATTCGTAGGAAGAGGAAGGATAAAAATATACCAGTTTGAGTTTCAAATCTGAGATCACACGCTCTCTCTGATTTGCAAAAAACTTCAACGACTAGGAGCCACCATGAATGCACCCATAAAAGAGAGAGAAGAACAAGGAGAGGAAAGAAGAGAGTCAGGCCCAAATTCATCTAGTAAGAAATGATGGTGCAGGTTGGTGCAAAGCGAACGGCAAAACAAATGCAAGTGACATATTAGCAAGATGAGAAGAGTTTTACTTACCCCAACTCTCTGAATTAGAAGAGATCTCTTTAATGCTTCTCTTTTGGTTAAAAGATTCTTCTTTAGAAGCCTTAGAGGGCGTTTGTAATTTTTTCCACGGTAAATAATTATGGCATGACCTTCTTTTAGCTTGTCCACTGAAACTAGGATCCCATCACTTTCTGCTTCAAGCAATGTTGCAGTGTGAATAACCTGGGAAAACACTCTCTGCATTGTAATCACCTTCACCACTTCTCTGTGCTTCCAGTGCTGATGCAGACCTTCCATAACACCCTCAAAGACCCCACGCCTCCCTGAACCCACCATCAAAAACAAAAAAATCTGAACCACACCCACACACAGATACAGGAGGAAAGGGTAGATTAAGCAGAAAAATAAATGTTATTCGTGGATGGAAGCGTTGTAGTTCAATCCAAACGTGATTAACCAACACTAACCCCTTCCCTTTTCTGGGAGAAATTATTGCATGAGCCCGGTTCTGACATAAATGATGTGCAACCTACCATCCATAAAATGACTGTGAGACCCACCACTTTGTGAGTGTGTATTCAAGGTGAGCCAGGCTCATGTAATAATTTTTCCTTTTCTGGACCAATGAAAGCCCTACTTCATTCTTATGCAACAAAACTTGAGGAAATTCTGTTTCAGCGTATGAAAGTCAATGCTCTCACTATGATTTCTCAAAAAAGAGCTTCTTCACACAAAACACTTTTAAATGGGACCAAGGTAAATTAAAGGGAGAAAGGGGAAACCAAGCAACTCGTCTAGCATGCAGATCAACCAAAAGGAACAAATGAAAATAGTCATAACCAATGACTCAGATGTTTGAATACCTAAAACTGAGAGGCAACTATGCAGAAAAAATATGTCATGACAAAGCTATCTGGAAACAATTTATATATATATATATATAAGAAGCAATATTTCAAACAGGGTACATAATGATAAGCTTTTCTTTACCAAGCACTAAGCTGCCACGTAGCTTCAGCCCTATCTTCCGGAAGCATTCTCTTTCCTCTTCTGTCATTATTCCTTGGTCTGCATCCCGTGGACTAGGTACCCATGCAGAATTCAACTTTGACAAGTCCCTCGCTGGCTTCTCTATCTTGCTTTTAAGCTGCAAAATCCATGAGGATTATTTTCCAAACCAGCATTGCAGTGATCCTGATAAGATAATGAATTGAATCTTACAATGCAAAGCCTGTATTCTTGATTCCTCAATTCCCTCTCTAGTTTTTCCTTATAAGCTTCTAATTGAATTTCAGAGTCCCCTTTTGCCGTCTTCTGAAATTTGATTTGGAATTCCTGAAATTCATGTAAAGTTCCACTTCTGCTTGTGTTGGTTGGTCCGCCAGGCATATAAGAAGTTTCAATTGCTTTCATTCTTGCACGTTCTTCGTTGGTTTGGCATTTTCGAAGTGCAATTTCTCTGTCCACTATTACAGTTGCAACTTGGCCAGGAAGAAAGTCTTTGCCTCTATAAAGTATTATAAAGAACTTATTCCGAAGCAGCAGAACTCCTCCAGTGAGACTCTGCGTATACAACATCAACATTAGAAAAATCTATCTCTGAGATGTCATTTATAGATAAGCGTGCCAAGTGCATGTTCAAGGCAACACTAGTAACTGTGCCTGGTTGGGCATGGGTCAATATGTAACTCCTCAGGCATCAAGCTTTTGAATTAATGATTCAAATAATATGGGTGATCCACTTTACTCAGATCACTGTATCAGTGCCCTAGCAATAAATGATACCAAAAGATGTGGTGCTTAAATCAGAATGAATTTCAACTGAATACAATCAGAAATGGTCCACCTTGCTCAAAAATCAGGCTACCAAAGCACGTAGAATAAAAATAGGACAACTTCCATACAGACATAACATAAACAAATAATAATTCAGCAAATCAGTAAGTATGATATATGTTGCTTCTCAGTATCGAACTTGCCTTAAGCTCATCTGCCATTTGCTCATTGTTGGTATTTGGAACTCCCCACTTCACAGCAATTTTAGCTATAATAGTCTTTTCCCACAACTTTAAGATAGCAGCAGCTAGGCCCTGAAGTCTTCTGTTCCTCCCTACAGAAAATACGCAAAACTTTAAAAGCCTTCATGATGCAAAACATTCCTACATGCACACAAGCCTCTAGCATAACCCAATACATATAATGTCATGCAAAATTTTTCAACCAAGTAACTGTTCATGCCTGTCAGACCCATTTTTTCTCAATCAATTCTCAAGCACTATTTAAAAATGTTGTTTTATAATATGATAGCATATTTCTCTTTTCTCCTTGTTTCAGTTATCTTATGCATGTGATGTGTTCGTTGTCTGTCTATACTCTATGTATTCGTATGAGTGTGTCTACTTTTGTTCATAGGGAAAAAACGCAATAGAAAGCTTTATATAGTAAGAAAATACCAAGGACAAAATGTGTAGGTAGAGACTGAGCAAGCTTTCTCAAGTATGTCAGTTCATCATCTTTCAACTTTGATCTCATACGTGGAGGACAAATCCTTGATGGAGGCCTGAATCCTTTAACTACTTCTGGAAGCAAATCTGCATCTACTGGCAATGGCTTTCGCATCCACCAGTCAACAAAACAAGGTCCTAAGCCATCTAATAATCTATCAGTTTCTCTCTCAAACAGTGATCCATTAATTGGTTGTGTATTTAAATCTGCTTCCATTAAGATGCCAGCTGATATAGACTCTTCTTCTACACCATTTCTGGGAAAACTTTCCTCGATTGTAGCCGTATTAAAGTTTTTCTTCCCCTGATAATTGCATCCTCTATAAACAACATGAATATCTTTTCTGGTCCAAACAACCAAGCCTCCTGTCTTCATCTGTTTACAAAGAAATGAAAAGAATGCAGTTGTTGCATTTTGATTGCTCCAGGTGTACCAGCAAATTTTAAAAAAGAAAAGACAACCCATAAACAAGTAGCCTTATTTTAAAGTTGCAAAAAATACAAACAAGAACATCCGAGATAGTATGCCAATCTCTACAATATGAGCAAAAGAGCATTCACCCATATACTAAGCAGTACAGTTTACACAGATCAATCACAAATAACTCTTTTCCAGGCAGAATTCTTACATCTGCCCAAAAAAGGGTCAATGAAGCTTTGCGTAGAAAATGTGTTAAAAGCAGCAAGATGAGCACTCTGAAAAGAATTATCACTGCATAGTTTAGAAACTGATCTTCTTTTCTTAGGAAAATAAGTTTAAAAATTGATCTTCTTTTTCTTATGAAAATACGGTCTTTTAAACACAAGTTCTTAATCAGGATGGAAATCAAGCTTCTGAACAGAAAGCATGTCTTTCCATGAATTACGAACAATCTCCAAAGCAACTTCCAAAAAAAAAATTACAAGAATCAATAAACCAGCAAAAAATGAGTACAAAAAAGTAAACCAACTAACCTCAACAATATCTCTTGCTCTATTCATATTTCTACACAAAGGCATATAGAATTTCATCATAGCCAGCTCACTCGTTCTCCAAGTCAATCTTATCTCATTAACTACACTCTGTGTCACCCCAGCTTTCTTCACCTTTACCCAAGTCCTCATCTTTGCAGCCTCTCCTCTCAATCTCTCAAGTAACTCCTTATCAAGACTCAACTCGGCCTTGCTAACCAGCTTCTCTTTTTTCATTCTCCAATTCCCAACTCTCTCTTCTCTCACCCATGGCAGCTTTTTTCCCCTAAACCCCAAAACCCCATCTCCGTTAAGCTGTTTTAAACCCTCTCCAATCTCAAAACCCCCAGAATTCACTGGGGTTTCCTTCAAGTTTTGATCTTTTTGGAGTTTTTCAGTACTTCTTACAATCCTTTTATCACCAAAAACATTTAAAATCCTTTCTTTTCCTAGCTGCTTTAAACTCTCTCCACTCTCAGAAATCTCTTGGGTGTCCTTCAAGTTTTCGTCTCTTTGCAGTCTTTCAACACTTTTAACAATCTGTATCATTGCTTTATTGCCTCTAACCCCACTTTCTTTAGCAGTCAAAGCCTTGTCATCTTTTTCAATCTTGTCATTCTTTATTGGCTTCTTGTTTTTGGGGTTGGTGAGGTTAAGGAGTTCGTGGGGTTGCAGAACGAGAGGACCCTTTATCCATGGAGGTGTTGGCACTTTAACATTGGTGGTGGCATTGGATTGCGAAATGGGGTTTGTTAACACCGCAAGTTCTTTGTTGTTGTTGTTTGCAAACATAAATGAAGGGGTTGTTATCTGGGCATTGTTTAAGGTAGTATTACCATGCTTTTTTGTTGTTGGGTTTAAGGAGGATGTTATGGGAGTGCAAGAAGAGAAAAATTTGAGACACAGAGCTGATGAAGCCATGAGTGGCTGATTCACTTGTGAGTGAGCGAACGAGAGTGGATTTTTTTCAATAACGAGAGGATGCCATTTTCTACAATAAAAACGCTGCTAAAAAGATTCGTCATTAAATCATAGGCTAATCAGTCGAGAGACCCCTGAGACTTTTGGTCAAATCCAACTACGCCCCTGAACTATTAATTTTCTGATTTTAATCCCTTAGACTATCAACTCAAGGCAGTACACTGCCTTCTTTTGGGTGCTTAAGGTTTTTTGCATGAAAATTGAGAGGTAATCGTCATAGACGTTCAAATCACATGATAATTAGAGGGGCTAGTGGATGGAAGCCTGAGGGACCCTATTGCCTTGACCTGATGATTTGATGGATCAAAATCAGGAAATTAAAAGTTCAGGGATCTCTCCTTCAATTAGCATAAAATATAGCTACAGTTCACAGAGGCTGAGATATACTAAGAGCGGATATAGTTTTAAAATGCTTTTTATATTGAAATATATTAAAATAATATTTTTTTATTTTTAAAATCAATTTATTCAAATAATTTAAAATATAAAAAAAAACTAATTTTTTTAAAAACATTTTCAAACTCACTTTAATCTGAATCCAAATATTTCTCTCGTATCCAGAATAAACTTAACAGTAAAGTTAATTAATGTTCCAATATAAAAAAAACAAATTAAAAATTTATTTATTTTTAATAAAAAAATGTAATCACATCAAAATTGTTTTGATTAAAAAAAACAATCTGATCAACTCGTATGGATTTTTTAATTAAATTTTAAAATTATAATAATTATTATTTTTATTTATATATTAACCCTTTCAATCTATGTCAATTCTTGAATTGAATTTTTAAATCATAATAAAAATTATTTTTATTATTATATTAATTCTCTCCACCCACCATGTTGTGAGCCTTATTTTAAATTAATTTTAAAATTATAATAATTATTATTATTATTTTACATGTTTTAATTAAAAAAATTAAATTAAAAATTTTAAAAATATGTGGAGGTCCAGCCCAATCCTTATAGTTGTGGTCCATTTCTTTTGTTTTGTCAAAAGAGGTACACTGAAGAGTCTGCTCTGAAAATGAAGAAGACACAACGGTGGGCAGATAATAAAACCTACAAGAAATAAAAGAGATTAACGCGTATATGGTCTGGATACATTATAGTTGTGGTCCATTTCTTTTGTTTTGACAAGAGAGGTGCACTGAAGAGTTTGCTCTGAAAATGAAGAAGACACAATGGTGGGCAGACAATAAAAACTACAAGAAATAAAAGAGATTAAAGCGTATATGGTCTCGATACATAATGGAATTGGAGACTTACATGGAAGGCTAGAAGAGACTCTTTCATCAATGGCTGGTTGACATGTGACAATGATATTTTATTTTGCTCAAACAATGAAGCATCGGTTATAGGTGACGACACTGTTTATACAGGAGAAGTGTTCAACATACAAATCAGCCTAGGATTCTTGTCAAAGAGTTTCCTTCTTGAATTCAAATATAAATTCTAAGATTTAGCTAATAAATAGAAGAGGAAGAGTAGCAGAAAGATAAGAAAAGTGCTTGAAGGCAAATCACATTCACGCAGAAAAGCCAAAACTACCTTAAATCTGTCCAAAAGATTTAGTTTTGGATTTATTATCTTAATTTGTTAATAACATGATACACATTCCATCAAACATAAATGATTATTGGTGTTATTATTTCTTAATAGCACTAATAATTCCTGAATGGCATGATGCTAATGTGTAATGGACAGAAAAGTTACCAAGCACTGTCCCTTTCCTTCACAGCTGCTGCACCAGTCTCCCCATTTGAATACAAACATAAACATATAGAACATGGGGGGAAAATAACACTTCTGGGGCACAGTTTATTGATTGAAATTATAGTATCCAAATACTACATACATGCCTACTGCACCTTCTGCGCTTTCTGGCATGAATCATCCTCAGGATTACGAAGGGTTCCAAGCATCCAATCCATCCATATGGTATAATGGCCATAATTATGCTTGTATGTAGTATGATGAATTGTGTGGTACCCAGCACCCATTATGGGCCATAGGTTGGCATGGATGCAATCGTGAATGTTGGCTGTCCATAAACCCTCGATGAATAAGAGGGCTATGTATGACCTAAAATGGGTTGGCACAAGAAAGAGAGCTATAACATGTGGTACAGCTTGTAGAATCCCATCCAGAGGATGAAGTGCCAAACCTGAAATAGACAATTACTTCTAATTAGTGATCCAGATTAAAAATCCTGATTACAATGGTACATTAATAGGGATATACTAAAATAAAAGTAATTCCAAGTAGTTAACAATGCTAAAATATGACTTGATTCAAATAAAAGCAACTGCTTGATGTGAAGTCAACAATACCCTCCCCTCAAGGGAAATCTTTAACTAAATTCCTCACAACCACCACGCTGGATTCTGAAATTCAGTGGTATAGTGACTAAATAAATCCCATATTCCTTGACCACATCACCAAATGTATGGAACAAAATTTCAACATGCCATGGAATGTATGAGACACAAGTCCCAAAAACGTAGTGTTTGCCCCTGTATAGAAGCCACCTGATGTTGATGCAATTATCAACAAAGCTACAACAAATTCATCAATGTTTTAGTTTTACACTCTTCTAATAAAGGGCAGCTTCTACATTTTAAACTAACTTCTTGGAACTTTGATCCCACAGATTCATTAACTGAATCATACAATGTGGAATTTTTTTCCAGCACACGTTCAGTGACTTGATCACACAAGGAGGGTTTTTTCAGTTGTATCATTACTGAAGTCGCGAATTCAGTGCGGTGTTCTTGTGAAATTCAACGAGAAGTTGGTCAAAAAACACAATTTGCAGCAAATTAAGTGCATTTCAAAGGTCATGCGAATAGAGCAAAAGAAAAAAGATAAGCAGTCAACGTTAGCAGAAGAACAAACTTGTATTATAACATAATCCAGTTATCTTCGTAAATAGTTGAAGTTTTGAATTTGTACCCAAACATGAGAGCAAACCAAGCAAAGCACACCTTATAATAAAAGCTTTCAGCCAATAAGCTACAACATTCGTTTAACAGCAAATTCTGCAATGCCTTCCCTGTACACCTTTTCCAAAAACATCACACTTCATCCACCATTTTTTTCGCTACATTCTGCAATTTTTACACTGCATTACACAGGTGATCCAAAAATGTCCACATAGTTGGGTACCAATGGACCATATCAGGTCACCTTCAGGCCAGATAAGGATTGCTTATTGCTGAAATTCGGCAACAAAGAAGGCAGTTCTCTAATAGTCACATTTTCTTTAATTGTAACACAGTACCGTAACTATACTTTTCAAGGGAAGGAAATATTTTTTTGTCAATGCCAGGTTTGGTAAGGCCATGTTTGGTAACACTTGCGAACTGGCATTGAACCTCTTGCGAAATGAGATGAGAAATGGCATTGAAGAGCTAGATTTGGGTAAGGAGTTTTAGGGTATTGTAGAATTTGTTTCATAAACAGCAGAAAATTTGTTTCATAAACAGCAGAACTAAATAGACTGGATTAAGAACATACCAGCAAATGGAGAAAGAGTGTTCTGTTTGTTGTAGATGTGATGGGTTGCATGAAGATGCTTGTACAAAGGTTTTATATCATGTAATTCTCGATGCATCCAGTAAATCCCAAACTCCACAATAACAAGATACACAGCCAAATACGTGATGTAGGCAAACCAGCAAACTTCAGATATGCTAGAGAAGCACTTTGTCCAGCCATTTTCAATCATGTATTCAGAAACAGCTGGAAGCAGAGTGTACCATGGCATAGCCTTCATAGAAACATATATTTGTAAGAGCATGGCTCTATTTGAAGGGATGGCATCTGCAATGGGAATACGCAAGAGATCAAAAAAAGGAGTAATCTTGAGCCTGATAAGGAAACTTGCACAACATCTTCCCAAAGTGAATGATACAAGATTCCAAATGAAACCCAAATAATACCTTACATATGAAAACCTAGTACGACAATCTTACATAAGAAAACTCTACCAATAAATCAATCAACAACTTTTAAAAGTCAAGCTTATTGATTGAAATAGCAGGGCAATCTATTTAAAGAGATACGCACATGCTATGGGCAAATAGGAACGGGAAAAAAATTTAACATAAGAAATAAAATGTGGTAATTTCCCTGCAAATAGGGACAGATGGCGGAAAAACATGAGAAGCAGTAACTTCTATACAAATCGTAACTCCTGTTGTCATAAGCAGTAACTTTTAAAAGTCAAGCTTATTTTATGTGGCATTCGGGCTTCAGCGCATCATGCTAACTAAATGGCTATGTGAACCTCAAAAAAACAAAAAAACAAAAAAAGGAGCAACTGCAGTGAATATACCTTGCAGAAAAAGAGGTAAAAAAATTACACATTTCCAAGAAAGTTAAAAGAGGCAAGCATGGGGGACAAGAATAAGGTACAATATGTAGTTAAATTTAAAAGCAAAGCAAGGAAAGCAAGCAATGTGGCTAAGGAAACAAAGGCATGAGATGGCCTTTAAATCGACAAAATATGCATCTTATGGGGGACAGCAATTAGAAAGTTGACATAAAGATCGAGAACTAATAAATAAAGAAACTCAGATTCACATTCAGGAACATTTACCCTCGAAAAAACTACAAACATTTGATATCTATATCGAACACTTGAAAGTTTAAATGGAGGAGGCAGGTGTAAACACAGTAAATAGATAATTAGAAAGAACACGGGCATTAAACAACTCAGGCATAAACATTAATTCACAATTGAGAGACATTCAAAATCCAAGTGAAAAAAATTCTTGAAAAGTTTAGAATAAGAATAGATGATACAACAATCAAACTATACAGCAAGGCAGATACTATAAATAAGCACCTATGCAAAAGCAGCCAATAATAAGGTCATCAGTGGACTCCAAACAAAGACCCAAACTTTACAACTAGCCATCCACTCTGTGTTGAGAAAAGCAAAAGTCACAGTACAAATGATTCGAGCAATACCAACTCATCAAATCTTCCAACCACAAATGTATCATCTCACAGTCAAATTGCAAAGCCTCAACAGTAACAAAATTAAGAACCCAGGAAGGAAAAAGGAAAACAGCATGATACCAGTAACATCAATTGTCAACAATGAAAAAGCATAACAAAAAAAAAAAAACAGATTCAAAATCAACAACTGGATCGACCCATTACTTATGAATCATAAACATCACAAAAGAAGAACTTTTAAAACCAAAAAAAAAAAAATCAAACCATATCTATCAATTAACTAGAAAAACTATGCCAGTTATTCCTAAGAAACATCTAGACAGAATTAAAATAAAAATAAAAAATTCAAACTCCAGAAAGAAAGACAAAAAACTGGACTCAA